TTTTTTTTTTTTTTTAAGTAAACTGGCTACATTTTAGAAGTCACTGATGTCTGATTAACACTGCCATCCAAAAGAGGAAAAAAAAGACTCCAATAGAAGTGACCAGGTCTTGTCTTGGGTGATAAAACACATAAAACCTGCACTCATGGGTGTTATGTATTTTGCTTCAATGGCTTTTTAAAGGGAGTGTATTTTCCACATTTATTTAGAATCTCTCTTCCACTGCTATACTAGTCATGTTCAGTGATAGAAAGCAGGTGATAGGATCTTAGGTTACTCTGGGTATACTTACCCCTACTCAAATCACTTTGTTTTCCAAAGAATTTCTTATTTAATCTTGCAGAGTATCACTGTCCTTTCAGATCTGGTCAAATGTGATTATTGTGTTGAGGCATCATAGAACAGGACAGCACAGACATTGCAACAGAACAAGAGAGCTTGTAAAATCAGTGGGATTTTTGTTAGGAAACTAGAGAAATTCTGCTTATTATGAGGCTTTTCAATGCATATTAGAGCCCTGAAATCAACATTCTTGTGCCTTAAAATAGTGTGATTTCTGTAATTGATTTCCGTGACTCACAGCTTGATTTCCAGTGTTTTTACAACCTGCATCTACAATTGCTTTCATAAACAAGCCATAAAACAGATCCTGATTTTTTTTTTTCTCTGTATTTAGATAAAGAAAAGGGAGGAAGCCTAACTCTCAGTGACTTTGAAACTGCAGCTAAATATGGTGAGTAGAGAATAAAATCAATCAGGACTGGTAATTACATGGGATTCATATTCAAGTGGCAAATGTGTAACATGCTAAGAAGCTGGGCTTTTTTTCTGTACGGTTTTAAGTAAAAACTGAGCAGCCATCTTCTGGAGGCCACCTGTCTGCACAGCATCTCAATCAACATTTCTGTTTATTTTGGAAAATCTTAACTATTATTTCTATCAATTCTTGCTTTTTGCAGCTACATTTTACAATATTGACCTTTAAAAAAAAACCCTCGGGAACAGGTAATAATAAACTTGCCAGTTAATAGTTCTCGTGAAATCATGCTTTCAAGAGAGGTATGGCATTCTCATCATTTTCGCATAAACTGTTCAGGACAAGGCTGATATTTTTTTCTTTTTCCAATTCTTGTTTTTCCAAGGTTTTAACATCATCTGAAATTCCTTAGATTTTTTTTTTAAGTTTAAAGTAGGTTTAGAAAAAGTTGCAGGCCTTTTCTGTCTTTCCATGAGCAGTAAAAAAAAAACTCAGCTATCTTGAGGGAGACACAGAATACCTTGGTTCATTTACTGTGCCAGAGCTTTACTGCTTGTGCTAACACATCCATGTCATTTTAATACTTCAAGGAAGGCCAAACAGAGGGTCAATAGATTCTATCACTGTGGAAACCAACTAATGAGAGGTGTTTTAACAGTCTGAGGTTTTCTAAAGTTGGGTTGATGTTAGGGTTGAGCCCACACTATGCATTTACTCTGTTTTCATCCTCCTCAGTATGCAAGACCATGGAAATCACACCAGGAAGTAGCCCTTTTCTCTGCATGGACCTCACATACATCACCTGGCTTCTGCAAGAACTAGGCTTTGCCAAGAGCCAAGTCTTCAAGGTGATGTACAAAACTGATTGCAGGGGAGACTGGGCAGAAAGATGCCAAGGTGACGTTAGCCACTCAGTCCCCAATTTCCTGCTACAGCATATGCCCTGTGATTACAGCTGGGATGGGGGAACCCCAGCATGGTGGTAACTAGTGCAGTAACCTTCCGTGCAATATTCACCCTGCATGCATCTCCTTTTCCCAGAGATTTTAACTTCTCTTTCCCACTTTTCTCCCTGCAGCTTGCACGGAAAATTGACAACGTTGAAACAAGCTGGGCTCTGGGAGCCACTTTTCATTACATTGACTCACTCAACAGACTGCAGCTCCTTGAAGGCGGCTTTTGAGAACCCCAGTTTTTAGACGCCCGACACAGGGGAATCTGGTAGAGGGCCTGCTTTTGGCTTCCCGCATTCTTTGCGAGGTTATAATAAGCTGGGAGCCTTTCCTTTTCTGCCCTTGCCAAGTCCCTTCCATCAGTAGCTCTTTATTTTACAGTGGAGAAGAGAATAAGCCTTGACCATATCGCATCTTCAGTCAACTTGATGTAAACCCACATCATCTTTGAAGGAAAACTAGGACTCTCTGCAGGACATCTATGATCTCTATGAGAGAAAAAAAAATCTTTGTGGAATGTGCCTGTAATATTTGCTAGTGATGTGCTGAAGCTGGTGTAGGAAACAGTCACTCCAGAGAGAGCTCTTCACCATGCTGATTTCATTTCAGGGTGTTTCGTTTTGACATCAGTTTTCAGTGATGATTGTTTTTGTTTTACTACTTAGATTGTTTGAAGATGAATTTAGGTGTACATGTGAAGACAGTGCATTGATGTGTGTGTCTGAAACACCATGTGGAAGTCTCAGCTCTGCTTTTCGCTTGCCAGACTAGCAATGCTCAAGAGAACCTGGGCCACACTCTTCTTGGTGGAGGCCAGCAACAGGACAAGAGGCAGTGGGCACAAACTGAATCCATGTGGATTTGAGGAAAAACTTCTTGACTATGAGGGTAACTGAGCACCGAAGCAGGCTGCCCAGAGAGGTGGTGGAGTCTCCTTCCCTGGAGACATTCAAAACCTGCCTAGATGTGATCATGTGCAACATGACCCTGCTTATGCAGGCCATCTCCAATGCTCCCTTCCAACCTTACCTCTTCTGTGGGACTGTCAGTGCTCACTTACATGTGGCAATGAAAACCAGTTGGCCATGGAGTAGAGAAGCACCTGCGGTTCTGGTGATTGGGAGACAGGGGCAGGAAGACAACACTGGCTTTGCTAGATCTCAAAAGACAAAAACTTTGGGTGTTTGGTATGGGGCTGAGCATGGATTTGGCAATGCTGGATTGATGTAATAACCAAAAAATAAGATTCAGCCACCAGAATAAACCATGAGTGCAGCTTCCTGCCTGGGCAAGGTGTACAGTGACACAGTGTTTGGCTGCCCCTTCCTTGCTTGGAGGAGCGAATTTGGTTGTGGTTGCGTCGAGCTGTAGCGTGGTTCCCGCGAGGCACTGTGGGCACCTCCAGGGAGCTGTCCTTGTCCTGCTGGGCCAGGGATCTTCCTGGGCGCACGTGTGGCGTTCGCGGGGGTACTTGGTGCAGACCCATGCCATCTCGGGCGTTTGCAGAGGCACCCAGGGAAGCAGCCCCTTGCCGCGCTGGGTGGCCACGAGTGGGAGGGGGCGCCCCAAGCCCGAGGACAGACCCGTG